GACTTTGCGCGACTCTTCTGCACTCTGCTTAAGTTCTTTTGTGAATGAACTAGTAATAACATAGTATTCTATTCTGCTGTAGTTTGGCAAAGCTTTTTTTATATTTCGCCTGAAATATTTCTTACTCTAATTTACCTTTCTTGTATATATCCGTTTCTTTTATAATATACTTCTGTCGAATGCCAATATTTGTTTTCTTCTTCCTCCTCCTCTCCCCCCCCCCTCTCTCTCTCTCTCTCTCTCTCTCTCTCTCTCTCTCTCTCTCTCTCTCTCTCTCTCTCTCTCTCTCTCTCTCTCCTCTCTCTCTCTCTCTCACTGTGTGTGTGTGTGTGTGTGTGTGTGTGTGTGTGTGTGTGTGTTGTGTGTGTTGTGTGTGTGTGTGTGTGTGTGTGTGTTGTGTGTGTTGTGTGTTCGTTCGTGTTCGTTCGTTCGTTCGTTATCCGTTCGTTCGTTTTCGTTCGTTCGTTCGTTCGTTCGTTCTATCCCCCTGTTTATCTGTCTGTCTCTGTATATCTCTCTCAGTCTTGGGCATAAATATTACCCAGAGTTCTGCGTTCAAACAAGCAAACAGGAAAAAGAACGCAGGGTGTGTAGATAACCCAGATCACATACCTTGATACACTATATATTACAGTGTCCTAGGCTTCAGATATAAAGAAATGCAAAGATAAGGAAGGATTAGATTTTGAAGAGGTGTATGGATTTTGCCCCAACAATATCCATTATACCTGGCGAATATGCAAAAGTACGTAGGCTGCTGAGACTAATATGTCATGAACAGGTTTCTACTTAATTGAGGATGACTATCGCATATTATGAAGCATTCCTCTGAGATAAACATTTCACTCAAGTCTATTTCTCTCTCCTCCAGGATCAAAATTATATGTTGCGCACATGTGTATTATGTGCACTGTTTGTTTTTGTGGGCCCTGGAGGGAATTTCTCTAGATGGTTATTGTTATTTTTTTATTACTACCTATAAGTAACCCATTTACTTAATTTTTTATAATTTAAAATGGAATCGAGGACGATTCCGAAACTGTTGTCTCGCTTTCTTCAATAAATCTAGTCTGAGCATTGTGGATTTTTCAACCATTTTAAGTATTATATATATTCTCATCTGTTAATTTTATTGTTGTATTCTTAAGCACTGTACATATTCTTATCTGTAATCTACCGAAGTTCTTTATGTGAAATGCGAGTCTACATAGGGACTTCTTAAATAGGGCTGAGAAAACCAAAGTTACCTCGTACTTTTCGGAGTAAGCTTTTGTCTCAAAGTCTCACTATAGTTATCAAATCCATGGTGTGTGGTGTGGTGTGGTGTGGTGTGTGGTGGTGTGGTGTGGTGTGTGTGGTGTGGTGTGGTGTGAGTGAATGAATGAGTGGAAAGAGAGGGAGAGAGAAGGGGGAAAGAGAGTGAGAGTGAGTGTGAGTGTGAGTGTGAGTGTGAGTGTGAGTGTGAGTGTGAGTGTTAGAGTGAGAGTGAGAGTGTGAGTGTGAGTGTGAGAGTGAGAGTGAGTGTGAGTGTGAGTGTGTGTGAGTGAGAGTGAGTGAGAGAATGAGAGTGAGTGTGAGAGTGAGAGTGAGAGTGAGAGTGAGAGTGAGAGTGAGAGTGAGAGTGAGTGTAGAGAGAGAGAGAGAGAGAGAGAGAGAGAGAGAGAGAGAGAGAGAGAGAGAGAGAGAGAGAGAGAGAGAGTGTGTGTGTGTGTGTGTGTGTGTGTGTGTGTGTGTTGTGTGTGTGTGTGTGTGTGTGTGTGTGTGTGTGTGTGTGTGTGTGTGTGTGTGTGGTGTGTGTGTGGTGTGGTGTGGTGTGTTGTGGTGTGGTGTGGTGTGGTTGCTTGTGGTGTGCTGTGGTGTGCTGTGAGTGAATGAATGAGTGGAAAGACAGTGAGAGTGTGAGAGAGTGTGAGTGTGGGAGTGAGTGTGAGAGTGTGAGAGTGTGAGAGTGGGAGTGAGTGTGAGAGTGTGAGACTGTGGGAGTGAGTGTGAGAGAGAGAAGAGAGAGAGAGAGAGAGAGAGAGAGAGAGAGAGAGAAGAGAGAGGAGAGAGAGAGTGAGAGAGAGAGAGAAGAGAGAGAGAGAGAGAGTGTGTGTGTGTGTGTGTGTGTGTGTGTGTGTGTGTGTGTGTGTGTGTGTGTGTGTGTGTGGTGTGTGTGTGAGTGCACGCGCGCGCATCGCGCTTAGTGCAAGTGAAATATGTAATATCTACATATATACATATTGTTTGACCCATTACCTTCCTGTAATGATCTTAAAAAATATATTATAATATTTTGAGAAAATCAGGTGACCATTGCCTGCAGGTATATATATTCGAGTGATATATCAGTTCTCAGACACAAAGTTCACTGATCCTGCAAGATTTGGTGAAGGTTGTCATTTTCTGTAAAAGACAAGACAAAATTGTTCCAAAGAACCAAGACATAAATTTTGTTCCATAACCAGATCTTACCAGCATTACTGTAGAAGCAAATTTATAAGGGTAAAACTTGCTATGCTAATTAGTCTCGTAATTTATGCTCGCTCTTAATATAATCAGCTTTTCTATACATTTTTCATGTACCTTCTCACTTTTCTTTGGTTTCGTAAGAAATATTCCCTAAAACAGTGATTGAAAAAAAATGACCACCTGTTCAAATGGTGAAAAGTTGATCAATAATAATAACCAGAATGGTTGATTATCAATTAATTTAGTATTTGAAACTTGTCTGTAACTGAAAGTCGGATTTGCCATCACTGGAAGGTATAGAAGAATAAAATGAAGTATAGCTAGCCATATTTTCAAATAAAAATAAATTGTAAATGTTTGTTCGCAGAAAAAAAAAAAACACTTTTATTTAGGATCACACCAAAATCTGCAGTACAAGTATCTGCATCGTTTGAAAAAATAGAAAAAAAAAGTTTATGACTAGAATTTGCTGGAAATTTCGTTATGCATGGGTGTGGAGGTATTCATATCCCAAGGTGCTCTCAGACCAATTGCCTGTAAATCCATTTATCAAAGGCTTTGTTAATTCAAACTTTCATCTATAATATCAACATTGGTATTTCACATCAGTGCACTCTAACACATGATTGTATTGCATAATGTGAACATATTGATGCTTGTTACAGATGAAGGTTTCAATTAACAACACATTTAACCCTTCAGTGACAGGTACGTCTACAGCCTTCATAATGTATATAAATGTGTCATGTCTTGTGCCAGGTGGGCCAGCTGTACACAGCTTAGGCTAAGCCATAATGTCTATTATTGTATAATATTACATCACAAAAATTCAGGCCCCGGCATCATAGGGCTAATGAACGCATTTTTGGGCACCTGGTCTGAGAACACTTTTGGATGCATATACCCTCATATAACAAAATAATGAGTCAATGAACTGTTAATGAACGCGATAGTCATCATTAATGTGCCATAATAGGATACATGTGGCCTGGTCCTTTTACCATCAAACCCAAAAGGGAATAGAAAAATATGGTTCATTTTATATTAACTTAAAAAAAATCAATCATTAAAAAAAGGTATTTTGTAAGTGTGATATTTTATTTATTTTCTTAAAACTGTATCACTTATCACATACATCATCTTAGTCTATCTTCACATCACATTTCTTTGGATCTTTTGATAAATTTTCCTTAGAATACATTTAGAGTTTCTTTGCACTTTTTGAGATAATTTCTATCTTCTTTGTTCATTACATGTTCTTGTCTTTTATTTCACAGAATCAAGAATTTCATTAGTTCTTCACATCTTTGTTTATTTTTTTGTTTGTTTTTTGTTTTCCAGAATGGTTCCAGGTTTCTCTGAATTGTCCTCCTATAATATTTAATGGCATTACTAATGTCGAAGAATAAAATGGCTCACAATAATAGTAGTACAAGTAGTGAAAATTAATTTGATGATAATAAAGATGAAAAAGAATCATCTTAATTAACATCATCATAATTATCAATACCATCACCATTATAATGATGCAAGTTAACCAACACTAATAAAAGCCAAGGAGATAATTAATTTCTGCAGTCACATTAAACTTTCTAACAAATAAACATCAGTATTAACTGCAATGAGTAATTATCATATTAAAAGGCATCATTTATTTTAATAATAATAAATGATATATACTAAAACTTCTATAACTACTATTATATGCCATAAAATAAGTGATAATGAAACAATAATGAAACAGCAAAATGAAGCTGATATCAATCAATAATGGTAAATGTAAATTAAAAGTATCTAGAATATTATCAACAAAAAATAACACCGAAGCTGATGCCGATACAAATTGAGAAATGATAGCATTGTCTTTTTTAAGTTAAAAAAATAATAAAATAAAATAAATAAATAAATAAATAATAAATAAAAAATGCATAACAAATATTAAATAAACAATAATTATAATAGTTATCATAATAATAGTAATGGTAATAGCAGTAGCATCATTAATAATAATAACAATAATAAATAACAACACCAATACAGATGATAATAAATGTGATAATAAAAATAAAATAAATAAATAAATAAATAAATAAATAAATATAATAATAATATAAAATAATAATGATATAAAATAATAATAATAAAAATATATAATATATATAATAATAATAATAATAATAATAATAAAACAATAATAATAATTATATATAATAATAATAATAATAATAATAATAATAATAATAATAATAATAACTAATAATGAGAAAAAATAATAAGGAAAATCATAGCAGCAGTAGTAAAGTATCATTATCAAAAAATCTAAGTGTTATAATTTTAGAAAACAGTGCTGTAATATCAAGCCAATCGTAATCTTAACAAAAAACAGATATTAAAATAATCATATCTATAATCTTATATCTTGAAAACAATCAAATGAGAATCCAATCCAACTGCATGTCTTCTTTGAAGATCCCAATGGGAGCCATCTTCACTTTCTTTTTTTTTTTTGTTTTTTTATACTTTTTTTATGAGGGATTAGAGATGCGTTGATTAATCAATTTCTTTACTATGTCCATTGTCAAGATATTCTCTGTACATCTACATAAATCCTTCCTACATGTTAAAAATAGAAAAGATAAATGGCTACAATCCTGACCTCTATATGTTTGTACTGGGGAAGTTGTGGCCTTTCCAATAGACCAAAACAAGGTGAGGTCGAAGCCTCGGCGTCTTGGGTGGGACAGGCTAACACGAGCTATATTCGTAAGACTTGGGAAGGGAGACACCAAAGACTGGCCTGCCATATTGGTCAGTTTACTCCTTCAGTAACATTATACACCATATCTGGGGCTTTCACAACTGTAAGAGCCAGGGACACAACAGCCACCTTGCCCTCCAGTTGCATCTTTTAGAAAAATACAAAATACACACACTTTACTACAGTATGTCTTGTCTTCAGAGTGCCTTGGGTGACAGATCGAGACAATGGATGTTTCCTAGCAAGAGCTTGTTGAAATTCTTTTTTCAAAAGAAATGAGAAATAGGCAGGGTCGTGCATTGGCATAATATAAACATATAAATAAATCTGTGTGACACCAACCCCAAAACAGGTATGAAATAAAGACTAAATGAATTAAAGACTTGTAAACATCTCTTAAGAACAATCACCCTATACACCAAGGGACAAATCAAGACTCTTGACATGCTCTGTGTAATAATTATTGCAATACAGGTTGAGAAAATAGGACTATTAAAATGTTCTGTACAGAAAGTCAATGTATATAATTAAAACTGTTATTCATAACAATGTAAAATATGAAATCTTACATTACAATAGAATCAATAGGGCCATTAAAGAATAATTTTCATGCCATTAAGCTAAAAAAATAGATTAGGATAGATTACAAATATTTTACATTGTTCATGCCTTCAAATACAGGAGTCAAATCCTAACCTGTGCAAAAAGTTCTGATCAAGTTCATAAAACGAAATGATCTCTAAGGCAAGTATGCCCAACACAAATCTCCTACAGCAAGGCATGAACAAGCCAGAAGTTAGCAAATAAGAAATAGTTCGGAAAGAAGTGCAAGTGAGGTGTTTAGAGGAAATGGCATAGGGTATAGAACGTGGGAAACAAACATCATTAACAAGGTATTTTGCAGAAGTGATAGTCTATACAACAGATTACAATATTTACAGTAAATACAGCCGCAGTTTCACCTTCAAAGGCTCTACACTTTAAGCTTATAATTTACAGGATCTGCATCTACTTGCAGTCATCTATACAGAAATACACAGAAAATATTAACTTTGCTGTACTTTGTACACTTAAAAACATTCACCATTTGATATATTTACAATCTACATGTACAATAGAGGTGTTGGTGTAGAAATGTGGGGCGCCACAATGTGGTTGGGCAGTTGTCTGCCGTGGTTGGTTTAAACTCACAAGAGCTGTCCACACCAAATTTGTAGGGCAGCCACATCACCATCCTCTGTCCCTGACAACACTACCAGGAGACATTCTCACTGGGGGATCATCACCCTAAAATCACACAGTCACTGCATATAACTGTCTTGTTGGGTTATAGCGGTTACTCACACTTCATATAGCATATCATACCACTATTCATTGTTACAAGCAGTACAATAATAAATGATAACAAAATCGGCCTTAACAAAAAGGGGGTTCTACAGAATTTCTGTAGATTAAAAAAAATAATAATAAAATAAAAAAAGGTAAATCATGGGGTGCCAGAGGCTGAGATCTTGAGTCTATCCACTTTGACCTATTGAAGGAAACAGGTCCCTTGGCCGCACATGACCGCCAAGCGACTCACTGACTGAGCTTATTTCAACACTGTTCCCCTGACTTGGCAAAGTGGTCGGTCAGGCAGAGGTAACTTAAACAAGAAAGGTAATGGCAGCTGGCGTCAGTCACCAAGCGAACCATCATAGGAACAGAGGGAGACAGACAGCACAAGAGAGAACGTCTGGTATTGCACTGTTTTTTTTTCTAATACTGATACACACTGCTGTCTGCTCACAGCAACACTCCACCATTCCCAGAGAAAACTAATGGAAAGATTCAAACACTGTTCCAGAAGCAGCAACCATATCATTTCTCCAGAAAGAAAGGTAATTCTATTTATCCTTGGACAATCTTCTTCTCTTGTTGGGAGTGTCTTCATTCGCTGCAAAGTAAAAATAGATTGTTTAGGTCACTTACATCACACACACACATACACAAAAATTACATTTGATGAAATGGGAAAGGATAATTCATAAAGCAGTCTAATTCACAATCAAAATCAGTTCAAAGGATAATAAATAGAAACAAACACCAAGCAAAACATTGACAAGATAATAACATTTGTGAAGACTGTATAAGGACAACATAAAAGTAATTCCATCAAAATTATACCAATAATATAAAGCTTTTACCCGTGTATACTTACCAGAACTTACACGAATATGTTATAAAAAAAAATTCTAGCCTATATTCTCACTATGCAAAGAAGGAAAGAGGGGAGGAAGGAAGGATGAAAGGAAGGAAGGAGGGAAATAACCTGAAATGCATACACTGCAAAATGATACTCAACTGAAATATCAATACTACTTGCAGTCTAATAATTCAGCCCACATAATATATGCAAAATTATTTACCCTCTTCAGTAACACTACTGAGAAATACTTATATAAAACATATGGAAAATTAGTTGTTTAATTGTAGAAATAGAAATAGAAAACCAGACACCTACATACAGACAAACTACCACCAATAAAATAGAAAGAAATGATGACAATTATCAATATTATTTTTAAAAATTGTATCTGCTAAACAGTTTCCCTAACATATG